AACTTTTTATTTTTTTTTACAAATTAAATCCTTTTTTTTTTTTTTAATATATGCCATCTACGATTCCAAACATTTAAAACTTTATCTTCCACCCTACCTCACCCCATCCTACTTCATCATCTTCCTCAAAAATAGAAAAATAAAAAATTTTAAAAAATAAAGTTATCTCCTTCAAACCCTACCACCGCGAGCGCTGGTGGACCCGGGGGGGGGGGGTCCTAGGGGGGCAGGTCCCCCCAACTTTTGAGAATTTTTTTTTCTTTTTTTTAATGACTTATAAAGTCATGTTCGGTATCAATTGAAATCTAAATTTTAATCTAAATCAAAGTTAACAATTGATTTTAATAACATATTTCATGGAATTCATAACTGTTTAACTTTTATCAAATTTACCTAAAATTTGATTTTAATCCCCACCAAATAGGGGCAAAATTACAATAAATTTGAATTTTGATAACATGCTAATTTTAAAAATTCTCCAACGATTATACGCTAATCGAATATACAAATTGCTTATGTTATCTCAAAATTTATTTCGAGAACTACATTATGGACATATCGAATAGTCCAAACATATATAGAAAATAATTAAAAATATGTGAAACGTGAATCTTAAAGAAAGACGTTTAACTCGCATTTTTTTTTAAAATTCAATTATTTCATTAACATTTATTATTTTTGCGATACAAATTTCTCAATATAATTTTCATCATTTTATTAGGAAATTTTTATATGGAATATAACATCAAAGTTTTTTGAAATTTTACATCCGAAAAAATTATATCCCATATACATTTTCGAATGCAAAATTAAACGGGGTATGATTTTTTTAAACGTAAGTTTTCGATTGTTAAATTTCTCCCAACTTCTTTGCAAGTTCGATTGTGCCTCCCTAATTTTAAATCTCTACGTTCGTCCCTGGCAGCTGGGGGTTCCTACGTCAACAAAAAAAAAAAACCTTAAGATGGGTTATAGAAAAAAGAAGGGAAACAATTGATAAATAAAAGATAATTATAATCTCTACCAAGGCAAAATCACCATTTTCTTTTTAAAAATAATTTTGCTGACTTAAAATAATAAATAATGTCATTTGACGACCCAACGACATTCTATAGTGTTACATGAGATTTAATGTCAACTTTTCTGATCAAATAACCATGAATAATAATATAATAATCAAAAATTCAAGCGACATGAACAAATAATTTTAATAAAAATTGACGTAATTACCCAAAATTAACCCAAGGAAATAAACTCTTTTCATTTACGTAGGAAGTGTGAGGATATTTTGGGAGTCGAGCCCAACAGTATTCCTGTCGTGTCATGCTTTTGATGAAGCTGGCAATGTCAGTCTTGTTCCTATATTATCATCTTCTACAAAAATGCCCTCGATGTTCTATTAAAATTCTACAATGCCATGCCCTTTCTCCACACCACCGCTGGGCCGCGGCGGCTACTGTTAGGGTTGGGGGTTAAAAATTCACTATGCCACTAAACTATTGTGTGTGTTTTAAATCGATCATTGAACTTTAATTAATTTTTAATTAGTCACTGTATATTACAGTATTCTTCCAATCAATCATTATGTTAGCCTTCATTAATGAAATCAGGTCTTTGAATAATATGATGAAAAAAAAAAAAATATTACGACTGCCTCCCACCGTCAAGGATCAAGCTCGTGAGCTGAGTCCGATAATAGATGAACCGTACGAAAATTCTCGACCCATTTAATACCCCTATGTATACCAGATTGATTATGTGGTACAAACCCAATCTCAGGTTAGCAGAAAAAATTAAAAATTCAACCCCAACAGAAGTGTAATTTTCTCCAGATTGATTATGTAGTACAAACCCAATGTCAGGTTAGCAGAAAAAATTAAAAATTCAACCCCAACAGAAGTGTAATTTTCTCCCTGCTAACTACAATTTGACTCTCAATTGTTGTTGCTTTCAATCATCTTTGGAGTGTCTAAGAACAATTTAAATTATAAATAAATAAAAAATGAGTGATAGTAGGCTGTAGTACTTGTGGATTCTTCAAAATATACGATTAAAAAGTGACTTACGTGTGAATAAACAAGTTGTGAGCATGAGCCAAACGTAGACTTAATAGATTTTGATAAAAAAAAATGAAAAAAAAATGTGTTTGAAAAGTATATTAGAGTTGTGAATTCGAAAAAACAATATGAAGTTAAAATTAAAATTGATTATTTAAAAATTTGATAAATTTTTACCAAACTGCTTTTAGACTCTTTTGACTAATTTTATGAAATAGTTTTTTCTAGTTAAAAGAGTTAGTTGAAACTGTTATAAAATTAAATAAATAAAAGAGAATAAATAGAAAAAAATAGAGAGTCAAAATTCAAGTGTGTATTTTATTAATAATCAAGACTCGTATTTATAGGGATCAAAATGAGAGTTATAATTGGAATGAAATAGACTATTTAAACTAGATAAAACTTATCTATACTTTATGATAATACTACATAATCATCAATATTTATCTTATAGTTTTACAACACTCCCCTTTGATAATTATTTGCATAATGACTATCTCATTGAAATCTTATTTGGCAAAAATTCGGTGGGAAAAAATACCAACAGATGAAAAAGAGTACAAATAATTTAGAGTACTAAATTGTTGTCTCGTCAAAACTTTATCAAGAAAATTCAATGGGACAAAACTTGATGGAAGAAAAAAAAGTACAGCTACTCACCTAATTTCAGTAAGTGAAAATTCTTGTATCAAGCGATCCATATCTTGTACGTCAATGTCTTCATGTTTCGATTTCTGATGAAATATTCTCATGTTGTCCTTATAGCCTTCAAATAACACTATCTTCATGCGAGATATTAATCAACCATTGATAATTATAGAAACATAATGATTTAGAAAATAGCTCTTATTGATTTCTTCATGCGCTTCATACATATTAGATATTATTCTAGGGGTAAATGTCTTGTATGTTATGGACATTCATCACACAAAGAATATGCCTCATTAAACCCTTATTTAGGGGTGGGCATTGGTTGAGTTGGGTTGGGTCGGTTTTTGACTCAATCCAAACTCAACCCAACACGATCGGTTTGATTGAAATTCAACATAACCCAACCCACGTAAAGATTGAAACCCAACACAACCCAACCTAACCCAACCCAAGTAAATGTCGGTCGGGTCAGGTTGAGTTGGTTTGGTCGGGTTGAAACAACCTGTCACTAAATATTAAAGTCCTAAAATACCGACTTTTTAAACTAAATAATAAGCAACATTAATA